TCTTTCCCTGGAAGGAGCTGAAGAAACAAATTTGAGGGTGTCTTAGGTGCTCCCTTGAAGCATATATCGAGAACCATTTGTTGTGTCCTAGCCGTGTCAAATCATGAAACTGTTTTGCAACTTCCATGTTGGTGTTTGTATATGTCCTCTACAATTTTCTCCAATCCTCACATAGGGAAAAGTAAAAACATAATATCCCCAAGTTTTAACCTTTTTCTTTTCTTGTGTGATGGCTCTGACTAGTTGAACTTAAATCTGTGAATTAAGCTCTTAATTCTTATTCCCTTTTTTTTTTGGGCAGAGTGCTCTAAATTCTGATATTCTGTATAACCGTTTCACAAGACCTTTTGCTTGTTGGAATTGGATAAATCTCTTATGTAATTTTATGCTCTTCTTGTTAGGCAGAACCAACCAATATGAGCTTTGCTTGTTTATGCTTTTGCTTTGTAGTTTTTTTGTCTCCAGAGTTGCTCTTAATATTTTGGTATCTGTAATACAGAGTATCCGGAAGTCTGAATGCCCAAAAGAACTTGAACCAGAAGATAGGAGTACATCTGTGCGAGTTAATCTGACAAGGAGAGAGGAGGACTGCCCTGTACGTCCTTATTCCTCTAACAAAGGGTCTCGATTATGCTGCTAAAAATCTCTGCTTTTCACAGTGACGCTCTTCTTTTATTTTTTATTTGATCTTATTTGCAGGTTCCAGAGAAGCGCCGTGCTACATTTCAGGGTGTTGGAAGAACTTTAGGTAGCACTAGCAATGCTGAACAAGTTGAGTCAATTGGTGCTGTCTCATCATTCACCGCAGCTCCAACCCCATCAGTGGGCCTAGTTGTTGATCAATCACAGCCTTCAACCTCAATTCAACTGAGATTGGCAGATGGTACACGAATGGTTTCGCGGTTTAACTTCCAACACACAATCAGAGATATTCGAGGGTTTATTGACGCATCAAGGCCTGGAGGACCAAGGAGTTATCAGCTGCAGACTGTGGGCTTTCCTCCCAAACAACTCTCAGATCTGGACCAGACAATAGAGCAAGCAGGCCTAGCCAATTCAGTTGTAATCCAGAAACTTTAGCTGGGCACACATTTTATGTTATATCTGCTGCAGTTACACCAAGAACCGTGCTGATTTTACCTCTCTATTTAAACTATATACGCACTCCTAATCGCAAGTAACTTCCAGGGCTAGCTGATGTTTTTCTTGCAGCCTACTGATGAATTTATCTTATGAAGTTGAGAGGCACTCAGAAATTTCTTTCTTCTTTCCATTGGCTACGTTTTGTTTTTTGCATATTGTTGAATCGCAAATGTCACCAATACATGTTGTAGTAAGATAAAAACCTTGGTATAGGATTGGCATCACAATACTACATCTAAAGTTCAAACAGCTGCAACTGTTAGATATTGGGCAAACCCATTTTTAGATACTGTTATCCATTGTCCTCTGTCATTATCAACTCTAAGTACTCTAGATCCTCAACTGTAAATTATTGACATACAAATTTCCCTAGTTCCTCAACTGTAAAAGGATTGGGATACGCCTTTCACTTAGAAAAAGTATATGATAGAGCAAAAAAAAAGTATATGAAGAACAAGGAAAAGGAGCAAACAAGGTATGACAAATTCTATCTAATTTTGTTGAGTTAAACCAATCAATTAAACTATTCTAATTCCGTGATAAAAGTACGCCTGAGAAGCGTTTATCAAAAATATCTCGTTTCTCTTGTAAGAAATAAAATAAGATTATAAAAAATTTGAGAGAAATTTATTAGCAAAAACCAATAATAAAAAATTAATTAACAACTTTGCATCTAATTTCAATATAAAAATGTACATGAAATTGTAGTAAAATAGGCAACCAGCTTTATTGAATCAAAAACATGATTTTCAATATCAATTTAGATGGAATAACTGAATATCTTTAGCTCCAAAGAAATAATACTAGTAATTAACATTAAAGCAATTAGAATTGTCAGTTTGTCATTATTCCTCCAACTATGTCCAAATTGTTTACGTAACTAATTTTACTAAATGAATAAATATTTTACTTACCATTTTTTTGTTACTTTTAATTGCTTTTGAATGGTCTGATATTGTAAATCCGTGTATACAAGTCAAACCAAGTTAAAGAAAACCTATTCCTAGCGTATTTAGGATTGAGTTGTTAGATTTTCCTATATATAAAACATATTCCTAGAGTAATTAGGATTGAGTTCTCAGACTTTCCTCTATATAATCTAAAAGTTTATAGAAAAAAACAAAACAAAACAAAACATGGTTAGCGTTGGCGCGGCAATGTCGTTCATTCGCCGTGTAATGTCCCACCCTAACATATACACTCCCTACATTCGACTCCTTAGTAATTTTGTAAGTGGAAAGTTGGACGGACCAACTGCTGCTTCAGAATTGCAAACGCTGTTCAAAGGATACGACGATTTGCTATATGGATGTCGTATGTTCTTGCCTCCTCAATGTCATGTATCATTGCCTTTCCAACCTCGGGAATTCCGAAAGAACAATGTAGTCGCAGATATGGACAAGTTAAAATCTTGCATTAATTTTCAGAATAAATTGGAGAATCGATTCGCTGATAATCAAGGTGTTATTTGTGCATACTTGAAGATTATCAAGGCTTTGACAAAGAGTGAACTTTCCAATAACGAGGCTTATGATACAGTTAAGAAAATTTTTGGTGATGAAAACCAAGATTTGGTGGATGAGTTTGCGTCAGTTTTGAAAATTAAGAAGAGAAAAAAGGAGGAAGAGAATTTATCTTCACCAAGTAGTAGTAGTGAAGAAATCAAAGCCAAAAGGCAAAAAACTGCAGAGGAACGAAATATCTACATGCGAATGGAAGATGAGATGTTTGAAATTGACGTTCACTTGTCACGTATGAGAACAACTATGCAATCTTCTAAGGCTTTATTGAAAAACTTGAGGGACTCAACACAACAATATCAGATTATTAATATTGTTGACAAATATATCAGTGATGTGAGTCTCAGTTGCATTAGGGAAGAATACAAAGAACAAGGTTTCTTTATTATAAAAAGACTAAAGGAAGATCCGAAACATGTTTTACCCCGAATTTTGTCAAATTTAGAGTCCAAAAAGGAGGAATTGGTAAAGGCCAAAGAGAAGCTGAACAAAAGTTGGCGTGAAGTTCATCAGCAGAAAAAAATTTCTCTGTTAATGGCATCATAGATAGATGTTGTTTTGAAGTTATTTTGTTTATCTGAATATTGCTATTCTGGTTTTTTGCCGACGAATGAGTTGTAGATTATGTAATCAATGGATATATCGTGTTTTGGGAGTGATCAAAAATCACGTTTAATATTTATTACTGTAATTTTAACTATACACATCAATTTGATAGTTCATCAATTTCCTATTGAACTTTTCTTCAGTATTTTCATCTTAACTTTTTTATTCTTGTATTTTTCAAACTTGTTATAAAAACATGTTTCTTGAGCCGAGAGTATATCAAAAATAATCTTTATCTCACACAAGGTAAGGGTTAGGTCTGCATACACCGAATTTGTTGTTATTGTCAATTTCCTATTTAAATAATGACTAGTTTTTACGCTCAAAATAATTCTTACGAGGAATTTGGAGCAAAGTTGGATTGCTTCACAGGGTGTAGCCTAAATAGTGAATTTTTTGGCTGATTCCTTCAAGTTCCCAAGGTAGCTTGTGGACATCATATTTGTTCGCAAATAGAATATACATATTCAGATTCTTTTGACTTCTAAAATGAATATAAAAAATTTAAACCAACTTTTTTATACAAACAAGTGAGGATTCGTATAACCAACCCCAGCTTGGCGTAATTGTTGTTGTTGTTTAATTATTGAGTTTTGATTTGTGCTAGTTAGTCAGAGATTCAATGACAAAGTCATTGTTTAACCAACTCTTGTCATTAAAATTAAAAATTCAACATTTACTTCATTGTCAAAAAATGGCCAAAAAATAAGAAAAGAAATAGTATGTTTAAGATGGAGGCTATATTTATATTTATATTTATATTTATAAATAGAAATATAAGAAAGAAATTTGAAAAGTTGCCTTCTTTAAATATATTTACAATATGCAGTTGTTAGCAATTCTTAACCCCTCCCCTTGAAAACTGCAGTGTGATCGCATTTCTTCAATTACAATAGACTATATTACACCAAGTAATTACATGATCCGACAAACAAGCCAAATTGTGTAATTACCACTCAAATTCAATTCTCATGTGCCTCTCTACCTTCTCAAGATTAGGGGTGGGCATAGTTTGGGCAAACCCGAAATCCGAATTTTTTGAATTTTTGATTTGGATTTTCAGATTACGAATTTAATTTTGGATTTAATTTTAAAAAATTTTAAATATTGGATTTGGTACTTCGAATTTTTGAATATCCGAAAATCCGAAATTCTTATAACTTGATATTTAGTCCATTATCCATATGTCAATAGTAATAAGTTCAATACCCTACCCATTAGATATTATCCCATATTCAATATATTAATTACTAAGTTACCGTGAGAACACTTTTTATTTGGACATGATTTTACTATTTCTACTTCTTATCGGCCGTATTAATGTCTATTATATTTTTTTGACAATAATTTCATTACTTGAATACTTCATTTTGATAATTGAGGCTAGAATGAGGAACTTTTCAGACAATTTAACATGAATACTTCATTTGGATATTCATTTTTTGTAAAAAGAAGAAACATCTCAACTTATATGCTCAAAACCGAAAATTCAAAATATCCAAACCGATTAATCCAAAACCGAACTTAAAAAATCCAATCCAATCCAATCTGAACTTATTTGAATTGGATTTGGATTGTCATTTCTTCAATCCGAAAACCGAAAATCCAAAGAGAAATTTCCATATGCAATCCGAACGCCCACCCCTACTCAAGATAGGGATAAGATCTGCGTACATACCCTCCCCAAACCCCGGCGCGCGCACATGCAAAAATTAAATTAAAAAAATCAACTAAGTAGCAAAAATAACTTTATTTTCAGATGATGAAGCAGGCTCTCTGGCACTAATTTACAAGCATGTTGTCAGGACCTAGATCAAGAGATCACAACTCATTAAACCAATTTTAACCAACTCAATATGCATCTGCAGATTGCATTCTCCTATGTACCAATTGCTAGCACATACATGGCCTCGACACCACTCAGCTGGAGAGGCTAGCCTAGCCTGATCCGAGAAGTGCTAGTTTAAGTTGTTTGCTATTTAAAATAGAGATAGAGCAAATGCTATAGCGCTATGAAATAAGGACTCCAGAGATATTGCAACTCGAGATCAGGCAAAGTTCTTATTCGTCAATACGAAATTCTTGATCAGCATCAGCTCCTAGAGACTTGTCATCATACATCCAGCTTCCTATCTAAACCAGACATCCTACTTCTCCATTTTCAAGAACAATAGGGGAAGACACAGGAAGAGGAAAGTCATAATTATAAACTAAATAAAACATAGAAAAAGACACCTAGACTTAAAATGTTTATGATACTTTTACCAATTAGGATTAATCTTTTGGTAGACTCTGCAATATACAGTTATTACGCATTTAGGACACACAAATTGCATTCAGTTGACAACACAGTCTAGTGCATAAACTTTAATAAATAGCAAGTTACCACAGTAAATAATAGAAGGGTTTCTGGCTTTTGGAAAAAGGATAGTATCCTCTCAGTGCTATACAATTTGATAACACATACAACAATGCCAGAGCTAGGCAAGAAAATGCGTACCTCCTCATACTGCATCAAGGTCAGCTATTTATCTCTTCCTTCGCTTCGACTCCACCTAGCAATGGGAATACTGGCAGTTCAGATTAAATGGTTGCCAACTACAGATAAACTTTAATCAAGATTACAAACAAGAGCTTAAATTTCAATGATAGCATTGTCATGATGCAATCCCCTCGAGGAACCCCCACAGCTTTGGTTCAATGAAGATAAGCACATCATGGGTTGAGAGTTTGAATTCAGGCTTTGACAGTAGAGAAAGGCCTTTATCCACCGAGTTTCAAAGTTGGAAATAGTGGATTTCTCAGTTATCAAAAATAAAATGATGTGACTTGAGGAACATAGAAAGATGTACATGGATGCATATGTAGTTTTTTTTTAATTCCTATCTACATGTCAGCAGGTAATATTCCAATAAATAGCTCAACATATGATTATTCAGCTATGCCCATGCCCAGCCTATCTCTCCCCTCACCCCATATCCGCTTCTCCTTCTAACAGTCAGCCACTCATATCACCCCAATTACCAACCATTCTGCCACTCTATTAAACATTCACCGTTACAGGAAGATAAGAGATTTGAATCAACAACCTGAGAAGTCAATCAACCACCCTCCTTTACTTTTCCGTTAACAGCCATTTCTCTCCCTACCCTTAGTTTCTTACATTAAATGTCACTGCATAATCTACTCTTCTTCCCTCTTAATTCTTACATAAAGTACGATGATAGGAAGAAATATCGACATCAATTACCTCAAAAAAAAAAATACCTTAAGAAACTCGAGTCTCATAGGGCACAAGATCCAAATCTAAAATCAACTTTGACAAGCACTGGTTCAGAACTCTCCGTGTCAAAAGGGTTAGGGGGGTTGTTGGGGGGGGG